CAGGTGCGCCGGTCCAGCATGCATCATGTCACCTGGACTTTCTAGGGAGGCATCTGTGCTGGCGCTGTTGCGCCATTCAGCCAAACAGTGGAAAGCTCGGATGGCCTGGTCAGCCAGCATTTGAAGCGACCGGACGTCCGAGGTCCGGTCACGTGGTGACGCGGTCAAGAAATGCTCGCGCTGAACCGACAGCTTTAAAAGTAAACCGGTTAACTCCGCGGTGCGACGTCACTGGGAGCGGATACACAGTCGGCGTCGGACCAAGAGCAGCTGTATCACGGTGAGCTAACCGGAGGGCCATCTGGCCCTCTGACACCGGGGCGACTGTCGGCCCTCAGGTGAGGAGGTCTCGGAGGGCCATCTGACCCTCTGACACCGGGGCGACTGTCGGCCCTCAGGTGAGGATGGTCCCGGCGGGCTAACTCTGATCCCGGCCCCGGTCACCGCCGGCGGCCTGGTGTTGCCTCAGCTGTGGCCCGCCCCCGCCCCCGCCCCCCGCCCCGCCCCCGCCCTCGCCCCGCCGGGCGGACCGCTGAGCAGACATGCACCCAGCGGTGGGGACGCCTGGAATATCCGACGCTGGTATGCGCCCCACAGGGCAGCTGAGCTAGGCAGCTGACCTGATGATAAGCCATCGGCGGTCCTGTCGGCTGATTCGGCCCAGAAGTGGAGGTGCGGGACGCTCCTGCCCATACAGAGCGGCCGGCGGCGTAACCCACCGTTTATCTGCATCCGGGTGTTGGCGTTTACCTTAACAGGAGACGCAGCAGCACACCACACCGCTGGGTGCGGAAGCAGTGCCGTACACCCGCTTTTGGATCGATGAGCCTTAGCACTGTGCAGAGCTACTCGAAATTCCATGTGCGTTATAGGACCAAATGTACAGTGCACTGTGTGACGCTCAGAGAAGGGCAACATGCCGGGTAACTTTGGGACTCGAAGTCGATCGTCCGGGCCGGATGTTCTAGTCAACCCGTCTGCCAACGCCGCCCGAGTAGCAGCCATGCAACAGCATGTGCATAGCTTCGAACTCGAGACACGTGAACAGCACTTACAACTGCGAACCTGCATCCTGATGCGCAGGAGAGCAGCATCTATCCTGCTGTTGCAAAGTGGGACACGATGTGCCGGTATAACGCGGCCAAGCCCACCCGGGCACGGCCGCTCGAGTTACAGATCAGATACAGCTTCTGCCGGCTGCCTGTCTCGGGACATCAACGGCGCCGATGTCGTAACCAACATGAATGGCTATCCTCGACGCCTCTAGAAAGTCAATGGCTGAAAGACGTGATGTGAGTCCATGATGTCGGCACGGCTGACGTCCAGAGGCGCCGCAGTTCAAATCGCAATTTCTGGGAGAAAATCGTATGCTGGTGCCGACAATTGTGCATTCTTAATGCAATCCCACTCACCGACGGAGTAACTGTTCAGACTATCGGCCTCGCCTGGTGTGCCAGTATGTGTCCAATGTTTCGGTTACGCAACTCTTCACCCTCGCTATGTGTCGTGAAATCATGCGAAGGATCGGGTGATATTTGGCTTTTAGCCATGTAGGCGTCACAACCCGAATTCTCTACGTGGAATCCTTGGAGCTCGAAGCAGGGTCTTCTAATTGACATTCCAGTACTTTATCACCTAGGCCTGCAAGGAAGAGCTTCATTTCGATGTTAGAACTGAAAGCTATTTACCTCTTGGATATTATGCCTTTCAGCAGGATCGGGCACAAGATTGGGCTTGGCCTACTGACGGAGATGTGAGCCTATGCCACGTGTGCTGTCTCCCTGATCTTGCTGGCTCTCCAGTGCTGCTCTCTGTTGATGACGCTTTCTTCAGGCCACGCTGACTGGCGATGGCCGTCTGACCATGCATGCTCTGCCACATCAGACTTCAGAGCCTCACCCCGGGCGGCCGCCTTTCTGCGATCTCCCAGCCTGACCGACAGACGGCACCTTGTCTCTGCATTGTGGGACCGGCCACAGCTGCGCGGTATGTGGTACATGCAGTTCCTCTTGTGCTCCTCCGGTGTCGTCGGCCCCCGACGGTGGTAAGTGCTCTCTGAAACGTTGAGCTGCTTTTGAAGACTGCTCTGGTGTTGTATCGTCAACAGATTCTTCTGATTTTTCTGACAAATCCTTGTTGTGTGGTGGTGATACCGATGCTGTTGGTTTTTCCTTTGTTTTCAGTGGGGCTCCTTCCTTCAGACTAGATTGGTTAGCCGATCTCCTGCGTCATGCGTGTGCGCGGGGGAGAGCCGTTTGGGAAAGTCAACCCCATCAGGCAAATGCGTAGCATTAGGTACACAGGTGTTTGACATGTGCCGATGACAACAATTTACTCCTCTCAGTGGCCTTTATTGCTGGTGAAATTCGGCTGTCACATCCGTTTTCCTCATAATTCCCATGCATGGCGATGGGGGAAGGAAGCATATTTTCGGACCACTGAGCTTGCATATAACGGAGCTCACTTGATACAATTGTGTAAGCCCTACCTGGCGGGTAACATTTTTCCCCGCGCGCTGAGAAAGGTCGAAAACAAATTTGCATTTTGTCAAAAGAAAAGTTAATCGCCATTAAGACCAAAGGGTTGCTTCCAAACCAATCAAGCCGGTCAGAAGAGTCACACGGCAGGGCGACTCCTCGTGGTCGCGTCTGGCGACCCTGAAACTCACAAGGCACGGCGACTCCCTGTGGTCGCGTCTGGCGACTCTGAAGCTCGCGAGGCATGGCGACTCCCCTACCGTCGCGTCTGGCGACCCTGAAGCTCGCGAGGCGCGGCGACCCCCGCCGCGCCGGAATTCGGCGGCCCGCCGTGACGTCACAGCCCTCGGCCGGGAGGCCCCGATTTAGCCCAGTGACGGCGCCCCAGGACGGCCGCCTCCGACCCCGGACCGTGCCTGTGGCGATCGGCCGGCCTGCGGCACCACCGGCGGGCAGCAGCCAGGCCAAGGTCAATGAAGGAGGATCAGGTTGTCAGCCGGACGGGGCTGCGGCCAGCAGAACACTTCCGCCAGCCCAGCTGATGGCTGGCGGGACGCCCACGTAACGCACTGCAGCGCGGGGTCCAGCCAGCTGATGGCTGGCGGGACGCCCGCGAAACGCACTGCAGCGCGGTAGTCCAGCGGGATGAGAGCAGCCAAATCGCATGCTGTGGGGCAGCGTCACCCCGCCCGTGCACAAGTGCTGAGGTTCTTCACCTGCGATGACGACAGGAGGGGATGGGGGGAACAAAGAGCACCAGTTTACACGATGCTGCGCAAGCGGGTCAAAACCTAAAGGAGAACAATCAAGTGCCGAAGTGCTCCCGCAGACACTGACAGAGTCAAAAATAGGAACCGAACCGGACCATCTTCAACGCCCTAGCAGACTTCTCCCACCAGGCCGGCACCGTGAGCCGGGACGCACTTATGGCCAGGGGCCCAAGAGGCGCGACGGTCGCACCGGCTTCACCCCCCTGCGCGCATCTCAAGTCTTCGGGTCGGTTCAACAACCAGCCCAAGGAGACGGCGAGAGAAGGTCTGACACTGTATGCGGCACAGGAGCGGAGCCAGGCCTTGCGGGGGGCCACGCGGCCGGGAAACCGCCGCCGCGCCACGCGGGACTCGGGACCGCTGGGGGCCGTCGCCGATTCCAACTACCATAAGCCACCAATCGGCTCGAGCTGGGACGTGTACTTACCCAAAGTTAGGAAAACACGACGGTTTGTCGACCATTATTAGATATAGATATATATATATATATATATAATACATCATTTTGTATTACATTGTTGTGTATTGGAGGCGTTTAAGTCCGTATTGGTTTCTACGTCCATGACCGTGAAAAAGGTATGGGCGTTCTCAGCCCTTTGAGATCGGACAAAATGTGGAGAACGCCTTTTCCAATTTCAGCCACATGAGAAACCCGATGTCAGTTTATCTGATCACACCAGAACCTGTGATGAGAGATCAGATGGAGGTGGGGGTAGAAACGGTCAGCAGTCAGGCCTCAGAAGTGACCGGCAA